TTTTTTACAGAGAGGAAGGGAGAGGGATAGAGAGTTAGAAACATTGATGAGCGAGAAACATCGATCAGCTGCCTCCTGCACGCCCCCCACTGGGGATGTGCCCGCAACCCAGGTACATGCCCTTGACTGGAATCGAACCCGGGACCCTTCAGTCCGCAGGCCGACGCTCTATCCACTGAGCCACACCAGTTAGGGCTATTTTTTAAAAAAGAAAGAGAGCATGATAGTGCAGAGAAGTTGAGACTATAGAGGCCCCGCTCTGCCTCTTCCCGTGCTTCTCCCAGGACGAGCACAGGTGTCATCACGGACAATCCTGGTTCTTCTCGCTCTGATGTTTTATCGCAGACACTGTCCCCGCTGCTAAGTCCCCTCGCCATTCTCCTTCCCTCCCAGCGGCCCAGTCACTTCATGACGGTTGTGTGGGCCATGATCCCCCCTGAACAGTGAGCTGGTCAGGCAGGAAGCTGGTGAGACTCCAGGGCCGGCCCATTGCCCCCCCACTCCCACCCCCACCCCCCGTGCAAGACCCGGTCCAGGACCTCGGTTCGTCTCCCATCTTTCCGTCTCGCAGGGGGTCCTTGCACGTGGGTTTTCTGGTTCATTCCTTCTCTACACTTGGGTTCCAACGATGCCCTTCTGGTGGGAAGGCGAGTGTGGGGCTTGGGGCCCGAGAGCCCTGGGGATGGTCTCTGAGGGCAGCAGCGGCGCGGGGCTGCGCTGATGGGTGAGATGGGAGGGAGGGAGGGAGGGAGGCTCGGCCGTGCCATGCCTGAGATCGAGGTTTACACACAGCGTCTGCAGCCTGCAGGGGGGAGGCGCTCACACCGGGTCCGAGGCTGATTTCGTGTGAGTAGATGTCCGTCCCCAGCTGGGGAGCCAGGCGCAGTGCCCGCCGGAGTCCGGGGCCTCCTCCCGCTGCAGCTGGCCTGCCCGGGCTCCCTGCGCCCTAGTTCACCCGATTTTCCTGTCGGGGCCGCCGGCGTGAGGAGGAACTCCCTGCCCGCTGCTCTCCCTCATCTCTGCAGTGGCCCACGTCCCACCTGGCGGGGGAGCAAATGGAGAACTCGGGTTCCAGATGATGGACGGACCAGCTGGTGTGGGTGGGGGCAGCACAGGGGACGCTGCCTTCCTGGGTGGGTTTGCTCATGACCCACCTCAAACCATTGCTCTTTCTCTCTTTAAAGTTCAAGCTCATCTCCCAGGCCTATGAAGTGCTCTCAGATGCGAAGAAAAGGGACATCTATGACCAGGGCGGCGAGCAGGCCATCAAGGAGGGGGGCCTGGGCAGCCCCAACTTCTCCTCCCCCATGGACATCTTCGACATGTTCTTCGGCGGGGGAGGGCGGATGGCCCGGGAGAGGAGAGGTGAGTGCCCTGGGCCGGAGGGGCTGGCACAGGCCAGAGCAGACAGACACGGTGTCAGCAGATGCAAGAGCTCCCGCTTGGCCACAGCGACGGGGCTTGGGGTGAAGGGCGTCAGGCTCCGGGAGACCCCACGCGGTCCGGGCACGGCTGCGCGTCCGTCAGCGAGGAGAGGGCTCCTTCCGGGCCCAGGTCGCTTCAGGTCCTGCAGGGACCTGTCCTCAGATTTGTTTTGGAAACACAGCTGGAAGTCTCTGCTGACACCCATAAATGACTAATGAGCTCATGGCCCCAGGGGTATTGTGTCTCCCGGGCAGAGAGCCAGGGGACGGGCAGGTGTGAGAGCAGCAGCTCCCCAGGGGCAGGGACACGGGGAGGGGCTGAGACAGTGTCCCTTGTCTTGTCGTCCGGGTGGGACCTAACGCGACGTGTGACTGCGGCATGACTGACGGTGGTCCTTTCCCCCCTCGCAAGGCAAGAACGTTGTGCACCAGCTGTCTGTGACCCTTGAAGATTTATATAACGGAGTCACAAAGAAACTGGCCCTCCAGAAAAACGTCATTTGTGAGAAATGTGAAGGTAAAAGCTTTTGAATGCTTCTCTAAGTTCTGATCCCTTAGATCTGCAAGCCGTGGTGACTGTTGTGTAGTTCAGAGGAGGACGATTCCATCTTCTCAGATGGGAGGCCAGGCAGAGGTGGCCGACAGGTGGCCCGAGGGACACGGGTCTCGTCTGCACAAAAAATCAAGACAGTTCACCCAACGCAGGGGTCAGACAGTAAAGGGTTGAGGCCTTGAGGGTCATGTGGGCCCCGTCCTCGCTGTTCCAGCTCTTGGTGCAAACACAGCCTCAGGCCGGACATGAGCGAGGGGACGTGCGTGTGCTCCAACAGTTTATTCACAAAACCAGCGGCTGGCCGTCGTTTCCCGGCCCTCGACTTGAATGTAAATGCAGTTAACGTAATTTTTAAAACCTGGTTTGTCAAGAGCAGTCAGACCCACACTGTCCCCCACGCACTGGCTGAGCCGGGCAGCTGCCCGTGGACGGGCCGTGTCCTCCCTGGGGTGGGAGGAAGCACCTGCGATGGAGCTTAGTGATGGAGTCGGCCTGAGACGCGGATGTTAACATCCGGCCGCCATCTGCTTGGCCAGGACCCCGTCACACCCACGTGGCTCGTCACGTTTATGAACAGTCAGAACTCAGACCCCGGGAGGAGCGCCGCTCACCCCTGTGTCCTGTCCCCCCCAGGGATCGGGGGGAAGAAGGGCTCCGTGGAGAAGTGCCCGCTGTGCAAGGGCCGCGGCATGCAGGTGCACATCCAGCAGATCGGGCCGGGCATGGTGCAGCAGATCCAGACCATGTGCATCGAGTGCAAGGGCCAGGGCGAGCGCATCAGCCCCAAGGACCGCTGCGAGGGCTGCGGCGGCAACAAGGTGGTCCTGGAGAAGAAGACCATCGAGGTGCACGTGGAGAGAGGTGAGGCCC